ATTATAAAGCAGAGACCTCAGATTCCTGAAGAAGACAGAATATAATTTCAAAAAAATATAATTTCAGGATTAGGATTTTTTAAAAAAATGTTTATTTGGTCAAGGAACAATAACATTTAAAATAGTGTAAAATCAAATGGGTGAGGTAAAAGACCAACAAAACAAAACATATCTATAATAAAAGTGTAACATAAGTTATTGTAATGATATGTTAATAACTGTGCAAGTATATGTTTGAAATAATATTATCAAGTAAAAATACATGTCACCTAAAGCAAGAACAAACACGTAAACCTGAAGTGATTAATAAAGCAAAAGAGGTAATTCTTGTGATCAGTTATGACATTCCTTCACTATGGCAGCATAGAATTTGACTACTAAACAGGTAAGGAAATATTTTGAATCTTATAGAAGAACTTTCCCATTGAAGTTATTGGCTTCCTGGAAATTTACATATTAGAGGCAGAATATAAAGAGACCTAATATTTTGCAGAATTTACAGTATAACAATATATGATAAATGGACTAGACCTTGTCACCATGTGGGCAGGTGCACTCAGTTATAGAATGTTGGAATATCTGCCTTGCAACAATGTGGATGGTAAGAAATTATGTATGGCTTTGAAAAATGCTTCTCCCAGACTTGGAAAGTTAGATTTTGAAAGTGTCTTGTTGGTTGTCAAGTGCCCTTGTTCATCCAATTTGTGCCATGTTGGGCATTAATTTATCTTCCTCCAGGAGGATGATTACTTGGATTGTAGGCATCCATATCCTAAGCCTTAATTGAGTATTTGCTGTTCCTTGAAAATCAAAGGGTTTTTTTGAGGTCATTTCTCTTTCCCCTGCCATAAGTTGGCTTTGTTGGAATGAAACAGCTTGATAATACCTTTGTACTAATGAACACTTTAGAAAGAGAATACAAATTTATTTGACTAAGAACTGTACTGAAATAATTTGTGGCTGCATTCTTAAGAGGTCAAGGATAAAAAGAAGTGGGGGCTTTGGTAGTTAATAGAGAGAAAGTCAATCAGGTGCCATATCTGGACCTTTCAAAGAGCTCAAAAGGTAATTGAGCTTCTCCTCCTCCTCTTTCTCTTCCTCCTCACATGGCACAATTTGTTCTTACCACAGACATTTCTACAAGAAGCTTTCCTAACCAGAAGAGCAGAAGATACTAATACCAGTGACTAGGATAGAAATAAAAAACAACCAAGGCAACAAAACAGCATTTAGTTTTTTGGAATCCTAGGATGAGATGTGAATGTAAAGAGAACTGATATCACATTCATAGCATTGTGAGCTATCTTTAAATTATGCATATTGTCCTCAGTTTCAGCAGCATCTGCAGCCAACTGCAGATAACACCTAAATGATGACATATAGTACATGCAATACAAATAATACTTTTTGTTCTTGTGATGCAACATCTTTCAGAAGTACATATCTTGCAGCATTTGTGTGATGAGGTCACACGTGTGTTATCATTTGTCTCATGTCTGCCACCTCAACATCCACCACACACACAAGGATGCTGTATCTGATTTGCTACTCCTATATTTTATTTTATTGGAAGTTTCAAAGTGGGGAGACAGAATGCAGAAAATTTGGCCAACCATGATTGCAATAATTTAAGGTGGTTAACATTTTGGAATTTAAGATACAGTCCTCTATACATATACCTCTGAACAAGGTGACTGTCTAACTATCTTGTTAAGAGCCATATGTTTTTTGAAAAATAAATCCCTCATTTTTATTATTATTCCTTTTCAGTGGCAGAGCAAAATTGCGAAGGTATGCAAGTCTATGACTGCAATTTTTAGCTTCCTGAGCAATTGATTTATATTAAATCTTTTAAACATAGGTGTGCTAAGTGATCATATTTTTCTCTTAACAAATTTGACATGCTGTTAAATAGAACACTTTTGGCCTGCAGTATATCACTGTCTATATATTGGAATGTGTTCAGCATTTATCACAAAAAAGTGTGATCTTGTTAGTAGCATACCTAGTAGCATACGTTAGCATTCCTTCTAATTTATCATTGGATTTTATATGGATCTGAATTATGTTCCTATCTAAGTATCTACATCAGCAAGCAGATTCATATTGTGTTTATGTCTGTGTGATTGATATCTGTTGCTGAGATTCACTAGCAAGTTTAGACTGCAGTAATTTAAATCACAGATCACATATTCAGAAATACTCATTTAGTTTCAGAAGTTATATTTGGCTACAGTCCAAATAAGAATATAAAATGATCCTTAGGTGCTGCAGTGCTTTTAACTATTTTAGAAGAGTAACTCTGCTGTGCTGCAATGAAACTTCTTTGAATCCTTTTTCTCTTTCCTACCACCACTGAGTTTTAAAAATTTCTGATGTGGTGCAGAAAAGTTAACGTTGTTACTAAATGAAAATTTAGAACTGCCTGAATATATGAAAACTCATATATGGGTAAATTTACCCTTAAATGGGAAGTCGGCAAAATCATATTTAACCTTGTAATAAATCCTAATAGATGAAATGTATAATACAAAGAAAAGGCAACTAGCTACATATTCAAAAAATACTGAAGTATGGATGATGCTCCATCGTTATTGCAGATTCTGTGAAATGGTATATTATTTTTTTTAAAAAAAATATTTAAATCATTTTAAATTTAAATTTTAAAATGTATAGGTTTTGGCAAAAGCCTTCATTGGACAAAGTGAGTAAAATATAGCAAAAACATACATATCATGGCTGTGGATGCTTCAAAAATAATAAGAAAAAAAACACTTCTAACCTTTCACAAAACAGCACTTCCTATTCATTAAAACATTATCTTTTCTTATGCCTTCTGCACAAGATTGGGAAAAAAATTCCCTGTTTTAAGAATGTGGGTTTTTTTAATGGGGTTGTTTTAATTCTGATTCTAGCAAATTAATTGCTCTTTTTGGCATAGTCCCTGGTCTATCCCTTTTCTCATTTTCTCATAAAACAAAAAAGATGGCAGGAGGGAAAAACCAGTACCAGTTTCTTAATGGCAGAATATTCCTTCTAAAATAAGCCCTTTCTCGAGGTTTGCCAGGTGATACCTGAATATCCTATCCGCTTTAAGTCCTCCCAGAGAGACCATAAAGTTGTAGAATTTCCTGCACACATTTCATGAGAAAAAGAAAACACAAATAGCTATTTTTTTTTTCTTTTTCCATTCTACCACCTAGAGCCCATTGTACATTGATAGTTCATTTGGAATTTTGAAGACATTTGAACTAGGGCTTCTGAGCTTCATGAAAAAGAGGGGAATAAACTGAAATCATAGAAAACAATTTTGTGCCGGGGGAACTACTGCTGATATTTTTAATCTGCCCCCATCTTTGAGGTTTGGTAATTATCCCCTTTGACTGCAGCACTATGCAAAACAGAACTTCACAGTTCTTTGAGAAACACCTCCATGGATCCCTTCCACATTATCCAAAGATGTTACTTTTTTATAACACACGGACACAAAGACAGGCACAGACATACCTGAAGAGAGACTTATTGATATCCTTTCTACAAATGAGTTACTTCAGACAGCATTGGTAAACACTTGATAGGAGATGAGATCTTTAGTATTTGTATTTTCTATGTATATTTTTCTACACCCGTGGATTAGAAGCAGTGGTGGGATTCAAATATGTGAACAACTGGTTCTCTGTGTAGATGTCGCTTCTGGAAGTCCATTCTGGGCCTGGGCAACAAAAAAATAGCTACGGGTTCTGCCGAAGTGGTGCGAACCGGCTGAATCCCACCACTGATTAGAAGAAAGTACTACTGAACAAAAATAACATTGGAAGTGCTTCCCAACCATAGAATAATGAAATCTAAACCGGGAATTACATTTATTTGAAAGGAAAAGGTCTCTGGGATAGAACTAGATGTCACATCATTAAATTTGTCTCCTTACATGCTAAGATGATAACAAAACCTCATTTTTATTCTTTCTTATCAGATCTTTTTTATCTGCTTTTTTAACCTGCCTTCATTATTTTTAGAAATAATTCAAGGTGGCAAACATACCTGATACTCTTTCCTTTTCATATTTTCCCCATAAGAATCCTGCTGAGGGTGAGTGACTAGCCCCAAAGTCATCCAGTCGGCTTTCATGCCTAAGACAGGACTAGAACTCTCGGTTTCCTGGTTTCTAGCCTCGTACCTTAACCATTGGACCAAGATGTCCTATCTCCAATACACTCATGTATGTATGTATATGTACATGAATGTATGTATATATGCAAATACATATACATACATACAAACAAACACATAATATAGATTTGATGTACTTGTACTAAATTTAAAACGAGTATTCCTACATGCATGAGCTTCACATCTTGATGAAAAACGATAGTAGGTAGTAATGTTTACATATGTTTTATTTATTTTATTTTATTTTATTTATTGCTACACATCTCTCTATAACCCTGTAGTCTGCCTGGCTATCCATGATCCCTTATCTAAAGAATCCCCATGAGATGAGTTCCCTCATTATATATTTTCTTAGAATTTAATTGAAGTGTGGGAAGCCAGGAAAACTACAGACACTGGAATGTAGAATGATACACCTACTCTTCATTTTGTTTCATCTAAGGTATGCATCAGAATCTTATAACCAAGCATGAATTTTGATGTTTTCTTCTCTTTTTATAATAGTTTGAAAGCAAATTTTAACCATCAAGTTGAGGAGAAACACAAACTGTACATCAATATTTTCATTTTAAGGTTTTTGGTATTTAGTTGTGCTACTATTAAAAAAAGAGCAAGTATAAAAATAATTACATCATAATAGAAACTAGAATATAGTTCCATTCCTGACTAAAAATGTTGATATTACCTGGCTCCTTTTTTTTAAAAAAAAGTAGCTTCATAATTACCTAAATATATTAGAAAACCTGATTAGTTTGTAGCAAACAAAATTGAGCAAATGTATAAACTCAATATGTAAAGAGAATATCTATTGTTTTTTTTCCCCTTGACAGGCTTTGATTTAGTGAAATGTGAAGATCCTGGAACCCCAAACTATGGCTACAGAATCCGTGATGAAGGACATTATACAGAAACAGTGGTTTTATACAGTTGTAATCCAGGCTACACGATGCATGGTAGTAATATTATTACTTGCTTAAGTGGCGATCGAAGAGTTTGGGACAAGCCCTTACCTACTTGCATAGGTAATAACAAAAATTCACAATATAAATTCAACTTTTGTTTATGGATCAGTATTGCAGTTTTTCTTTAATGTTTGAAATAGCATATAATTTATCTCAATTATTTCAATTTGTTTTGGTATCCATATTGAAATTAGAGATGTTGGACTATTTCATAAAAATTCTGCTGGTTTTAGTGATCTCCTTTGCCATTTCTTGAAATTCTCTCAGACTTTATCTTAATAGCTTGAATTTCATTTTAGGAAAATGTATCTTAACTGATATATTATTTTAGCTTGTACTTTACTTTAGTAAAATGCAGTAAAATTTAAAGATATATATATTCAACTGACAATTTTTTATCCAAGGTTTTTATTCAAATTTCACACATCAAAACTGGTTATGTTTTTTATAAACAATTCCTAGATATTGAGAAGAAATTAAAGAACACAAGCTACTTCTACCCAATACTTTCAGCCACACAAAACATTTCTTGGTACTAATGCATGGCTCCAATAATACTTACAGAATGGGAAATTATCAGAGAAGTGTAACAAAACCCATCAGTTTTTTTATCATGCCTTTCATTTGACATTGACTTTTACAAATCCCTAAACTTAGTTTAGAAGTTTACTGGCAATCCCACTGAAACATAAGGGTCTCATTTACAAGGTGGAGATAGGTAATCACTTTAGAAAATTTTCTCTAATCCTGAATTCTACAAGATCCTAATTTGCTCTGTCCTAAAATCATTAATTGGAATTATTTTAGTCTCTCCTTTCTTTTAATTTTTTGAAACTCATTGTAGTTCGGCACAAAAACAGTGCCTGAGGACCTACAAAAAGTTAGCCAAACAAGTTGTTTGATATTTGCATAAATCCAGTCAGTGATATTTAGAAATTATTATTTGTGACTTGAATAAAATAAAATTTATTTAATAAACCTAAAGCATCGCTTAGTACAATACATGACTACCAATCTGTGTGCAGAAAACCAGGTGAGTGAATAAAGACTAATTTTAACCTCTGTTGCTTTGCTAACTTTAAAAGGGAGTTTTCAAACTTATAAATGTTTGATCTGACCTCTTATGTATTGGGTTTGAGATTAGGAGAGATTGATAAATGGAGGCATCAAAACTTAAATATGTGAACTTAGGAAGAAATAACTCAAGTTGTGATCTAAAGATTCAATACCTCTATAAACCCTTAGAGATTGAGAAAGAAACAGAAAGTACAGGAGGGCATATATAATTTAATAGACATGACTGAATGCTGGTTGGAAAACTTTATGAGTGGAATGAAGAATTGAAATCTAATGAGTATTCAAAAGGAATAAGTCAGATAAAGGAGAACTGCATTATATTTGAAAAAAAAAAAAAACCTGGAAATCTCTATTGATATTCAAGAATTTGAGCACGAGCGTTTAATTAAGAGTCCCTCTCTGAGGGAGATGGATGGTTAAGAAGTGTGAAAAATAAATTAAAATTAAAAAAGAAAAAAACCCCAAGATTATTCTGAGTGTCTGCTATAGAATATTAAGTCCCTCTGAGTCAGACTTTTAAGGGAGAAGAGTAAAAATGGGAGATTGGGATAAGGTCCCCAAAATTCCTTAGTGGTTTTGCTGTGTCATTTTCTAGAAAGTTGAGAAAAAAGCAAGGGAATCAGAACTCCTGTAACTGTTTCTAAACAATAAAGAAAAGCTGACTAAAGAGATAAAAGCAATGGAAACTTTGGGAAGAAATAACTTTGTCATATTGGATTCAAAATCACTACAGAAAAAAAAATTGGAGTATAATTTACATGTGCCCTAGATTTTAAGGGAACCATTTTTCACTAAGCCTAGGCCAGATTTTATGGCCATAATCCTGAAGACAAAGGGAGCACAGGAGATTTGGGAGCTTCTCAAAGATAAGATACTGGAAGAACAATCACACACCAAATAGGAGGCGGTTTAAAAAATAACTGAATGCAAAGTGAGTTTTTGACTGAGCTAAGTGTTAAAAAGCATATGTAAAGAAGGCAGAAGTTGGATATAATCATCAGAGAATTGTATCAATAAGAACATAATATCTGCAGGAAAAAAGGTAAAAAAGCTGATGCAGAAAAGAAACTAAGGTTCACCAGGGAACGTCAATCAACAAAGATGAAACTCTGTGATAAACAGTTGAAAGTAATGGGTATATTTAGCCCAGAGAAGAGAAGACTGTGAAGATGGGATTCCTGTCTTTTAAGTATCAAAAAACTGTGATGCAGAATATTGAGTAGAATTGTTTAGAGTTACTCCTGAAGATTGGGGGGGGGGGGCAATAGATTCAAAGTACAGATAAGTGGATTTTGGTTGAACGTCTATAAATCTTTCCTAATGGAACAGACTGCTTTGAAAGGTCGTAGATTCCTTCTCTGTTTAAAGACAGACTGAATTGTGTAGTCATGGTTTGCTGCATGGAATAGGGAGTTAGATTTGATGATTTGTAACTTCCCTTCCAAACTATCTATTATATGATTCTGCAAGTGGAGCAGCTTATGTTGGATCTGACATTTTCTCATAAGTGTAAATATTATGTCATGGAGAAGATGGTCTGATTACTTATTAGGTTTAATTCTAATGTATAGTATTTTTGTTTTACGTTACTTGTTAGCACAGCATGAAAATAGTGCTCTTCGGAACAAATGGGGTTCTTCTGGATTGTCAGATTCCCTTTAGTCCTATGCAGGGTTTTGGTTTTTTTTTTTGCAAAGAATCATAAATTTATTCTTTAACAATGCCATTTTATTTATATGTATATCATTTGCATATTAGCAGAAAATATTCTCATTACAGTAAGAACAAGTAGTACAAGAAGAAAATAAATATAGTTTTGATATATGCAATATCAAAACTATTTTACCATTGTTTGTAGACTGAGTATATAGCTGAATATAGAAGACCATTTAAAAAAAGCAAAAACAATAAAATATTGTTTCCTATTTCTATAAGATTCCAGATCTATTAAGAAAGAAACTATTATTTTTGAGTTCATTTGAAGTCCATCATATTTTTCAGAAATAAATCAGGTTACCTTTTGTGGGAATACAAATGGAGTTTTCACATTTGCTGCTTTATTTGCAGGAATTTATAACTTAATGCCTGTGGTTCACCAGTCTGCCTCCAATCAGTTCCCTTGATGCTTTCCAAGTTCTCTGCTCCATTGGACTTCATTTCTTTTTAAGTTAATTCTTATAATTGAAAAACTGGAAAAAATGAAAAGCTGGCATAGAAGCAAAATGTAAAATTCTGACTTCTTTTTATTTAAAATATGGCTTTGATATCATATGCATTCTCAAAAAATGAAAATGATAGTGGCTTTAAAATAATGCTGCTTCAAAATGTGCATACCTGTCCATAAAAAAAAGGACAAAAACAAGCTGAGCTATTAAGGAGTATCTTCCAGCTGTAGATGTTACAGTGGGAACAACTTCACTAATTTTCTCTCTTTCTTTCTCTCTCTCTTTTGTTTTCTCTGTCTCTCACACACACACACAAATACCCACATAAACCCACACATAGAAGTATATAGCTCAGGGTTGAAGTATAAAGTCCTTGGTGCTCTCTGAGTTTGGTTCTTTGCTTGCAGATGTTTCATTACCTGACTAAATAATTTCTTCATTGCTAGAGGGCCAAATCCATTCCTTTCTAGCACTGAAGATGTTACCTAGTTGGGTAGTAAAATAACTGCAAGAAAACCAAGCTCCAATGGTACAAGAGATATGCTCTTTCTCTCTCTCTCTCTCTCTCTCTCCCTCTCCCTCTCCCTCTCCCTCTCCCTCTCCCTCTCCCCCTTCATTCTTGTACATAGAAGCAGCTGGCCTGGAGATGAGAGGAGATGAGGCAGAGAACTGGAGAAAAAAATACATGTGTAGTCAGTGTCTAGTCAGATTACATTAGAAATGTAAATTTTAAACCGTGTCTTAAACTAATAAGGAGAGGGCCAGTATCAGTTCTAATAACAATTTATTTTACAATAAGGACCTTATCCAGAATCAATTTCATGTTTGATAGATTCATGACAGGATCTACAGAAGGAGTCCCATTTTAGATGCAGACTGTATATATCAAATTGAGTATCTGGAGTACCTTGAATTGGGCTTGGAAAACAATTGGCTATCATTATAGGTATCACAGCATAATGATAAGGTGCAACTTGCCAATCATGCTGCAGCATTTTGGACCAATTACATTTTTTTTTTTTAGAATGAGGTTGCCAAGGTATATTTCCCCAAATCCAGATTCCTTTCTTCCAGATAGGAATGTAACTAACTAATTAGCCAAATCTGATTAAAAGCTTTCCTTGCCACTGTTATTAAGTGGCTATTCAATATCAACTCTGGATTAAGGAAGACCCCAGGCTTTATTTTGTAGTCATTGTTAATTGTTTTTAAAGGCATTAATTTGACTGAAATCTATAACTACATTTTTAAAGCAGTATTTTTATGCACATGCTCCTAAAATATAATTATTTCTAAATAAACATGACTAGCAAATAGGAAGAGTAAAAAGGGGTCTGCAAGTGAAGTTTAGTGAGAAAGTTTAAGTTGATTAGGTGCTATCAAGTCAGAGTTATCCTGGTAACTATATGGACAATTTCTCACCATTTTGTCTTGTCTCCATTAACAACTTGTAGCTCTTCCAAGGACAGTCCTGTAATTTGTTTGATCCCATCCATCTCATTTATCAATTGCCTTCCCTTACATCTCTTTTCCTCAATCTTGCCAAGCATAGTCAATTTTTTCTAATTCATTATTCATTCTCATCACAGATCTAAAGTGTGTGAGTTTCTGCTGTCTGATTATTGCCTCAAGGGAGCAGTGAATCTTTATTCGATCCAAGATGAATTACCAGTGCTTCTTGCAGTCTATGGTACTCTTAACAACTTAACTCCAAATCCATATTTGAAGGCATTTATCTCTTCTCATTCTTTTTCAGTATCAACCCTTCCCACCCATACATTATCATGAAAAACTATTCTAATAGCTTACTTTGGCCAC